GCCACTGGATACAGCACCAATAAATGTCATGTTTTTGTGGGAAAAAACTGGGTTCAGAATTGTGTTCATTGTTGAAATGGAAAGGGAAAAGGGGAAGATTGAAAACTATAGTGAGGATATGTTTTCTGGGAGGGAAAAGGTCACTGAACTGTGCTCTCGCTCCTGTTGTCTCAGGTAGAGGAGAGGAAGGGGAACTTTCTAGTTCCCTTTAAGGTGAGGATGAGAAGTCTAAATCTGATGTGGAAATTGAGAGGAATCTAATGGAGAGATCTGAAATAAGGAAATGGCACAGTTCTAGTGGTGGACCAGGAAGTGGTTGCATAGCTTTGAGTGGGCTGAGGAAAGCAATATTTCTTTAGAGCAGGGCTACTCAATTTTGGAATCCCTGGGGACCACAGTGATACTCACAGCACATGCCAAGAGCCAAAACTTAAGTGTGGTTACAAATATATATGCAAATATATATGCAAATATATGTAAATAGCTTTTCACACTGATGGGCATGAATACAAAGATTAAGGCAATACTACACAATACACAGGCCCCATTTAAGTCAATTCTGCTGATATTAATAAAATGCAATATGTACCTGATCTCCACCCATATGACAGCACTTTTAATGAGCAATAGCAGTCCAGGAATTAAACTACTAAAATGCTTATCAACAGAAAACCAGTATATTTTTTGTTTTGGCTTCACAACAGTCCAGGAATTTAACTGCTAAAACACATATCAACCCAAGTTGCAACAAACCCAAACTGCACTGCGAGCCGCAAACGAATAGGCTGCAGGCCACATGCAGCCCATAGGCCATGTGTTGAGTAGCCCTGGGTTAGAGGATGTTTTCAGATAATAAAGACGGAGATTTTAACCATAGAGTTAAAGAAGAAAGGTCAGATTTGAGATGTGCAGAAACAGAGCCACTTAGATTTGGAAGCGACTTGATATTTGGGAAGGAGGAGACAGGAGTGAAATCGTCCTGAGACTCCAAGACTGGTTGAGAAGAAGATGGAGCAGTGGAGAGGTGCTTGGGAGGCAAGCTGCAGATGTATTCAGTATTTGTGAAGCTGATATAGGATGGTGATGGCACAGCCAAGTAAAAGATCAGAGAGGTAACTTTGCTTGGTTTTCCAGTTCAAACAGGGCTTTGGTAAAGGTACTCAAGATTCAACACATTTGACCATTGCTGTTATTGACCAAGTACCAATAATTGTCTTGTTGTACCAGTCCTAAGCATACCAAAGGTGGATTTCAGAAAAAATAATAGTTAGAATGGGGCTGAAAGCAACCCAAAAGAGAGCAAAATATCCTAGAGGGAATCAAATTGTATTGAAGACAAACAGCATTTCCAAAGATGAGCAATCTTCAGTGCACTAAGAAATTCTTTTTTAACATGTCTGTCAATGCATTTTAATTGGTATTATGTCTACTGGAACAGTCTTAGGGCTCTGATGAGATATTTATGCTCAAATCAGCCTCAGCAAGCTGTTGACAGAACTTCCCACTGTACAGTATTTGCCAAACGAATCAAAGATATGTTGGTGGCACAAATTAATTGTAGTGATTACAGAACACCACATTAATATATAGAGACTATATAGCAACTCTGGTTATCCGAGCACTGTCACGTAACTTATGAAACTAAAGGTATCAACTTTCCAAAATCTGTCCCTACTTTTGTCTCAAACAGCCACTCGACAGTATTTTTCATTCTTTCTAAGTTCTATTCAGTTTTTAATGCCTAAGAATCTACATACTGTTTCACTCCACTAGCATTAGTTCATGGTTCTATTTTCATTTTCACAACACGGGAGAGAAAGATTTGGCTTGTGGTGGTGGGTTTATGTCAATACCATAAATTGGTGGGAGGAAACAAAGGCTTGGAAAACAAGTTCAGGACCTTTTGGGATTTAAGTAGAGACTATGGAAGAAGATAGCTTGTTTGTAATAATAATAAGAATTAATAACTGGTGATTGGGGAGGGTTAGACATGAACGGGAATATTAACTGAACCTACAAAAGTATTTCTGTCAGCTGCAGGTATGCTACATTAAACAAGTCCAGGAGTATTACTTACAGTATTCTGCTGAAAGTGGCTTCTTTATTCCTAGTAATGAATCTGGATGAACAGAGAAATGATTAATCTGTTTATTTCTGTTGCTATTTCATCTGATGGACAGAATTATGTTCTCAAGAAAATGTTTTGCAACATTTTTATTTTGTAATGGCATGGGTTTGACATACATTTTCTATGCTTTGAAAAGAATGAATAAAAATGAACTATGACTTAGGGCTCTATTCAGAAATTTGGTGGGAAAAAAGAAGAAAAATATTTTCATGGAAGTTTCAGATCAGCATCTGTGAAAACCAAGCAGGATTCTCTGTGGCAAAATAAAAAATATTCCCCTTCTGATACATGAAATCTGGGACTGCCCAGCCCAATTGAGTCAAACTGCAATTGGCCAGCAGCCAGTTGCTGTGGGAGGTTCCATGGAACTTACTGGGGAGCTTTCCTAATGGCATACTACTGTGGTTGTAGGCACCTCTCTGCTTAGTAGAAAATCTTGCCTTGGGTAATTCTCAAACTATAGATCCGGCATCAATGGGAATTTAGATATAGAGCAGTGTTAATAATGTGTCATTGGGAACTGTGCCTTTAAGGACTGGGTTTCCCAGAGAGAGTCTGCGAGGGGCAGTGTGAACGAAGTTTTTGTTATACACTGCCAGTTGAAACCAGACCCACAACTAGAGAGATCTCTTGGTAACTCCTTACACACTGCAATCACCTTTTGGTATCAAAAATAAGGAGGAACCAAGAAGATACCCTGAGTGGCAGAATTCAGTAGTAAAAAACTCCCCACCATTGCTGAATATCTCTGGAAATATGGAAGACAGTTGTCCAGACAGGTGTCAAGGGATGTGGTGTTTTTAGATTGCAACTTTATTCACTTTAAATAACAGGGATTAACTAGCAATTCTACAATGCGGGTCATCATCATTTCCTTAGTTATGTCTCTGTTATCCCCAACCTGGTGACAGCCATTTCATTGCTGGGATCCAACCACCCTCCCCCCATGCAAAGGAGGGTATCAGATACACAAGCCACAATCCCTAGTTCTCAAATTCTTTAGAAGGATGTTTTCTTTCAATTCCTTTCCCAGTCTATTTTATCCAATCAGTGTATCCCTTCCAAAACTGTTAAGTGCATTGGATATCTGTCCTCAAATTTAATTAAGTTGTGACATTACAACCTAACACACTATCCCACCCCACTGAGTCCCAGACCTGCTATAGGGAAGGTGGGGGGAACAAACCCATCTGGCCTCAGCTGATGTAGTGGTGAGGGGAAAATTCCTTTCCAGTGAAAAGAGCAACTAGTGGGAGATACCTAGCAGATTATAAGAGGAGTGAGTCCTTTTACAGCTCCAGCAATGGGAGAGGAGGACATCAGTGTAATCCAGGTGAATAAGAGTTTCACCAGGACTACAGAAGATATAAAAATCACCTCCTCCTGATCGGCAGGATGGATAGTAACCCCCTTCTTTATTCCCCCAGACTTGTTCTGGGTCCTTTCTGCTTCTCCACACTCCATCTTTGCCCCCCTACCCACTTGTATTTGGGAGTGCCCGGAAAGGGGCAATACCCGTGTTCTTCTAGACAACAGGATAAGGAACCACCACTTTGAACTTCAGTGATCACATTGGAGAAGGTTAGTTTTAAAGAGTGTTTCACTCTGTAGCTGCAAAACAATGAGTTTTGTCTGGAAATGAGTGATGGGGGAGGGATCACATGAGAGTTACCTTGTTGTGTTCCTGCCCTCTGGGGCATCTGGTATTGGCCACTATCGGCTAGTTGGTCTGACCTAGTATGGCCGTTCTTATGTTCTTAGTGCCAGCAGAAAGGCAGTGTCAGAAAGTAGCCTTGTTACCGATAATGACTGGTTTGGAAGACTTTGTGTTTAACAGTTTTCAGTTCATTCAGGCATTCACTAACTGTGAAACTATATTACAGAAATGTGAGGTGTGCTGCTCTGTATGTAGAATAAAAACACTGGAGAAATGACTTTAAAGAGAAATACAAACAGAAGGTGTAACCACAGAAGAACTTGGGGCTGATCTAAAGCTGAAGAGCTCATCTTTGCAATTTTATGAGTCTGCATCTCTGATACAGTTGGGAAACCAAAAATTAACCCTTGACAAAGCAATTAGAATTTGACAAGCAAAGAAAATCACACAGTCTCGAATTAAACTTACAGAGTGTAGACAGTGCTCTGATGCCATAGACATGAATAGAGAATCCAGAATACATAGGCTGAAAGACAGAGGGATGTAAATTAGGCACTTCAAAATTGCAAATGAAGCTGGGATTTTAATTATGCTTCATTTGCATAAGTGCTATTTTGAAAGTAAAACCACAGTCTAGATGCGGTTCTTTCGAAAAGGGAAGGCTTTTTCAAAAGATCCTGTAACCTCAAACAAGTGTGATCAACTTCAAAATCATGCTTATCTGAAAATATAAGTAACAACCAAGATTACTGTGACTGAAAGAGATGAGATTTTTCCATTACATTTGCTTGTGCTTCTGATGTTGGCTTGTGTTTAACTTTTGCTGCATTTCCAATGTGCTCCATCTCCCCCTTTATTTTGTGTGAAATACAATAATTGGCTTGGAGGGAAGTGTAAATATCTTAAAGTGCTTTGATCTTTAAAAATTGCAGCAATTTCAAATTGATAGTAGAAAAAAAATCATGTGCTTAATTGATACACAGGTACCCTGATACTTGTAATTAAGCACCTTTTATTGTCTATATAGTGGTTGGGCTTGTTTCACTGGCATGTGGCATAACTTGAGTCACTTTGAATTTAAACCAGTGTAATTGAGGTCAGAATCCGATCTACCATGTACCTTGCTAATTGTCTTTAAAAAGGAAGCATTCAGGAAGCATTTGTATGAAGTATCGGCAAAAATGTTAATTTCTCTTGTATCCTGTCATTTTTCAGGTACCCATGTCATGGAAGGCTCTGGGCGCATGCTTGTAACTGCCGTGGGAGTCAATTCTCAGACAGGCATCATCTTTACTCTATTAGGAGCTGGTGGAGAAGAGGAGGAAAAGAAAGATAAGAAAGGTAACACCCTCATATCACATCTTGGTGCTCCCAAATTATTCTTTATTGGCAAAGCACTAGAAGTATCTAAAGTACTGTCTTCATGTATATTTTTGAAATTACATATGTGAGTGAATACTTCAAGAACTATATATTACTGATATGTAAGTCATGATTAAAAGTTGTTTCATTTTAAGTTGCAGATTTCAGTGTGTGATGAAATGAATGAAAAGATCAGGGTATATATTCCCATCACATTTTACTTTTGCACATATTTCTGCACCCACCTAAATTTTGCCCATTTACATCTACATTCATATTAGTCTTCATAAGTCAGACATAAAAACAGCACTCTTATTTAAGTTTTAAACATGATATGAGGAAAATTGTGCCTTTATGCTGATGTAAATGGTGAATGCCTGTCTTTGTAGCTCTTGTTATGGACTAATTTGTTCAAGGAATTCTTAGACACCTTTCTACTTCCTAAAATTGATGGGTAAGGTTAGGAATATTGGAAGAAAACCAGTCTAAGAGACAGCAAGAGTTAAATGTGGTTTACAATTCAACTTCTGTTACCAGGCAGTCATATCAAGAAGTCTCTGGACATCTTGACCTTATTGTAGGATAAAGTTAGAAGAACTTACTAAGCTTATGGGCAACACAACAAACAGAAAATTGGATTAATGTCTTTTTGTCCGGATTTATGTATGCATAGTCTTCTGTTCTACTATGGTTGCTGCATTACTGGCCTGACTATAAAAGGGTTATTTTAACTATCCTCCTCAAGTATGCAGTTGTGTTTAAAGGTTATGAAAACATAACATTAAAAAAAGCAATTATAACTTCACCTTACTAGACCTACATGTTCCTTTGGGATATTATTTATCTTTCTCCTGCATTACATATTTTTATATTTGAAGCTGGGGACAAGAAAATTCCCCATTTACTAATGCCCACCTGCTAACATTTTATGGAGAGTGGCAGAAGGGACTGTTGTGAAGGCTTAAGTGATTGCGCTCATCTCCAGATTTCTACAGGAAAGCCTGTTCTTTGTACCACATGATCTCCACACAAACATACACAGTAACCACTAGTCATAATAATCATCCTAATGCTAGGAGCATTAAAGAGAAAGCTTTGCATTTTCCCAAGGTAAACTATATTATGCCATGCCCACTTTTGCTCTAATTGAAAACAGAGTGAGCAGGATGTTAAAACTGCAATGCTTGTTTAGAGCTAACATAACTTGTCTGCAATGAATGTCTGCTTTGGACTCCCTCTGTATTTCTTCTTGCTCAGTGTCTGTGTATTGGTTTATAGCTTTATTGTTTGTAGTCTTTAAAGAAAATGTAGTAAATCTTCCACAGCAGATTAATAGAACAAACGGTGATTCTAAAGAAACACTGAGGGATAGGGTTTTTCAGAGAAATGCACAAGAATTTCATATAGTACACATTGACTCTAATTGGAACCCTACTATTACAACACTAACCAAATGCTTTCAAAATTCAGGCTCTTATTCTGCAAGCACCATTGTGTGGATGCAGAAGTCTGCTTGCATGGAGCTACATGCAAGGATCAGGGCCTTATTCCTTGAAAATATATATTCCTTTTATATAAAACTGCAGTCTTCTAAAATCTTAGCTGTTGTGTGTTTACATGTCAGTTTTCTCTACATGTGTGCCTTTATCCTTCATTAACATTTTGTAAAAATCATCATACAGGTTTGAAACAGGAGGATGGACGTCAGCTTCCAGGTAGAGTAAGAAAACTACCACATTAGTTAGAAGTGTGAAGCTTTTAGCTGCTGCCATCTGACAGATTGTGGTGCAAATCAGGGCTGAAATAAATCAGGGTTGGAAAAATTATCCTTGAATATTCAGTTCAGATTCAAAAGTTGATTTCAGCTAACTTCATTTCTGATCTTTCATGCTTATTTTCAATAAACTTTTGAGTTCTCAAGCATTACTAGTGCCGCAAATCATAAGTTTGGAAGCTCAATTATTTCTGAAAAATAAATTATTGTATATTGAATTTTTAAATGTGCAGTTTAAATGCTGTGCTAGTTAATGTAAGTATCCAACTGCAGAGAACATAACTATAAATCATCAATATTAAATGAATTATGAGCACTGCAATCAAATATGCAGTTTGAAATGTGTATGTATGTACTGCACAATGAATTTCAAAGTCTGCATTTTGTTCTGTTTATTTTGCACTGGGTCCATCTGTAACACTGCTATTCACATTACATTCAATAACTAACATGCAAAGTGTGAAATTATCAGTTGTGATCCAAACTTTAGTCACTAAAGAATTTCATGAGTTTCAAAAAGGAGTAAATGTGAAAAAGTTGTTTTCTGTTGTGAACAATTAGCCAACAGAAAACAAAGCAAAATTCATTCAGTTATTCATTATGAATTGTTCCCTCAATACTAGTGCAAATGAGCATTAGCAATAATGAACAAAGCTTTTAGGGAACTTTTAAAATAGAATATATTTTAAATCAGTGAACCATATTAAATAGCTTATTGTAGCATACCTTTTGGACCTATGTGTAGTGCATACTAGTTGAGTAAGTAACAATATATTGTACATTTTGGAAAATACTGAAGAGGTTTATAAATGCATTTATTCAACCCAATTATATTTTAGCCAATTTAAAATCAACTTTTTTTATAAATAAAGAAAATAAAATATCTGCATAAAGGAGCAGTGGTATAGTAATACATAGTACTATGTATAGATAGTTCTCACCAACTCTTTTAACTGTGTTAAATGTCTTTCATATTTCTTTTTAAAAAATATTTCATGTATGAGTTTTTTTTCCTGACTTTGGTAACATCTTTGTAATAACATTCATTTTTAGACGTTATGTTGCTTAATTTAAAACAAATTGTTTTTGGAGAAAACAAAGCCACATTATTCCATATATGTTATTGTTTGTGTCATGTAAATTTATTCATATATTATTATCATTTATTCTTTTTATCCATTATTACTCAGTAGATTCTTCCCATCCCTCCTCCCACCCTCCTTCAGCTACAGATGGTGCAGCAGGTGCAAATGCCACTGATAATGCAAATGCCAGCTTAGTCAATGGTACGTCAAGAACACCTAGCTTGTTTTATTTGATGGATTGCTCTCCTGACTATATACGCTTTCCTCTTCCTCTTATGAACTGCACAGATGTTGTATGTGCATGTGATTATCCTGTGTGATCTTCTACTCCATATACTATACAGTAGCTTATATGAGATGCCACAGCAATATTGTGTCTCACTAGTAATTCACATCTATTCCTAATGCTGAACTAAGAATAGGAGAGGAACGAGTAGGAATTCTGATATTTATTTGACAATTAAAAATGGTGATAAGTATACTTTTGACGTAGGTCCTGTTTCAAAAGTTTTTAAATGTACTTCCCTTTTCTTAAAGTTTTCATGTCAAATTCCCCTTTACATGTTTTAACATAAATTTGAATCTGAGCACTATTATAAAATGTATTTTACATATTGCTGTTCCAAGTGGCACTCTCATAAGCATTCATAGTCTCTATTAGCTTTAAGGAAATATTACTGGGGTCAGGAATCTAGCTCAAACTCAATGTGTAGCACTTGAGTGTCATCTTCTAACTAAGCACTATTCTTAGCATCCTTTTGACAGAGGTTATGATTGAAAAGAGAAACACTCTTGTGCCAGTATGTGCCCTTCAGCATAAATTGTTTAAAAAACTGCATTTGTTTACTTGAAAATATTTTTATATCAGTTTTGACTTTAACCTAGTGCAGCTTCTTGACCCCATTTCTTAGCATGCTAATACTTTAGTAATACCTGGCCTGGTAGTCTAATTACAGTATTAAAAGAATGGATAGATACTAATTTAGGGTTTGGAATAGCTTTTATTTTGGATGATCATTTACAGTTCAATCTTAATCACTTTTTGTGTGATAGAATCTGTTCCTTATAATTATGTGCATCATAAACAGTATGGAGAATGTAAATAATATTTCTCATCATTGTTCATCATATTTGTGATATAAGTAGATTCAGTGTCTTACAGAAATCATGGTAGGGTGCATATTAAGGTAAACAGACATGAAATTCTGACGGCAATAAACTGTATGATGTTTCAACAAGATGGCATTTTCTGTAAAGCATTGGCATGAGAAATTCTCTGCACATTTTAAAAACTAGCCAATTAGCCCATCATAAGACGGGATTTTCAGGTCTCTCCTCCACGTTGGTCTTCTCTCCTGAGCCTCCGGTCTCTCGCTCCATCTCTCTCTTTCTCTCTCCTTCTCCTCCTGCCTCCCCCCCTCTCTCTCTCAGCTCTCCTCTGCCTCCTGCCTCTCATTCGGGGGACTGCAGAGCCCAAACAGCCATTTGGGCTCCGTGCTCCACATGGTTCATGGGGAGCATAGAGCCCAAATGGTCAGTCATGCCACTTGCTCCCGTGCGGCAGCCCGACTGAGCGGTGCAGAAGTCAACTTAGTGCCACTGCTGGGAGGGGAAGGGGGGCGGGGCGGTGACGTTCACGGCCGGAGGCGGGGCCTGGAGCCACTATCATGCCGCATGTCAACACCCCGCCCCCCTTAGCCTCCCGCTGTGGTGCTCGGCTGAGTTCTGCATCGATCAGCTGGGCCACCGCAGGGGAGCAAGCGGAGCAAGTGGTCGTTTGAGCTCCCCCGCGGTGGCTGAGCGGTGCAAAAGTCAGCCAAGCACCATGGCGGGAGGGGAACGGGAGCGGG